CTATAAGTATGATAACCTCTGGTGGCTGTAGAAATATGTCATAAGCTAATAGAAGTTAGAATTTGTAAGTTATTGAATTCTGACCCGTTGACTGAAAGACATTATCTTCTGGACTCGTTTAATTTGTGGATGGTGGCTAGCAGTGGAATCCAGGATACCTGTTTCGTCCTATTTGGGACTCGTCATCTGGATACACCTGCATTTCTCAGGGAGTGATGATGTTCCCACCGAGGCTCGCAACCAGTGCCCATAGTTTCAAACGCCAAAAGTGTTATCCACTAGACCACTTGGAAGGCCACATAAAGCCGACATGTCAGCCTGATAACGAGCACTTCGGCCTAATCAATCGACGGGAAAATCGAAAATTCAATTCAATAATTAATATGACCCGTTGCACAAGAGGTGGCTTTCGTGGTCCAAGTGGTCTAGTGGATAACGCTTTGGCATTTGAAACTATGGGCACTGAGTTCGAGCCCCTGGTGGTAACATCATCACTCACCGGGAAATGCAGGTACATCCACTAGCTGACCAGTCCCAAATAGGACGAAATGGGCATCCTGAATTCCACTGCTAGCCACCATCCACCAATTAAATACTAATTAAATGCGCCGACATCGTCGAAGCTGACATGTCAACCTGAGACTGAGTATTTTGGTCAAATCAATAGACGGTAAAGCCTCAAATTCAATTAAATTCTGAACTCGTTTTCCTGATAGAGTCATGAATTTCCAATGGTAAGATGCTCCAGTCCACTAATCTTTGATTTATAGTGGCTTTCTAAATGATGTGTTGGCTTATCAAAGCACTTTCCTAGAAACCGACGAGATTTCTAAAGACCCAATAATAAAATATTTGTAATTTCCTTGAAAAATCCTTAAAATATCAGAATTCATTTTCTCTTCAAATTGAAATGCTGTGCAAAGTGCATATGATATTGCAGACACGTGTTTCTCCACGGTAGAATTTCGATTTGCCGCATCTATTGACGATCAGACATTGTCTAGGAGTGCAGTGAATGTCCTAATTCGCTGAGGATTTACATGTATACAGCTTATCTTATGGATTCACCTGATGCCAGCTGTCACCTTAATCAGTGCCTTTCATACTCAGTATTCAAGATGTCAGCAAAAACCACAAAAAGGAATGATGTCAACATTTTCACTCAGCCAAACCGTAAATATCAAAATCACTATTTAATTTTGACTGGATTGTATGGAACGAAGTAATATTGCGTTATATACATGCTAAAAAATATACAAGTTATTACGAAATATTGCGCAACGCCAATTAGCAGAGATATAAGTCTCGTAATAAATTAATCAAGTGTCTTGGTTCTCAAACGCAAAATATCCTTTTTGCTGACCATCTAATTTATTCTAATGGATTAATTGAAGTCTGATTGATGTTTATAACAGTTCTGTGTCTCTAGAGACTTATTGCAAGAATTACTAATTAAAAATACAATCGGTTAAATAAATTGAAAGTGATGTGAGCAGTGTTCATCATCAAAGGAGTAATAAGACACTTGCACTCTTTTCAGATATGGTGGGCGTTGATAGTCCGGTTGAGTAGTTTTATCACAGTTATATGTTCGTATCATTTTCTGGCCAGGAAATTCCCCAGAGTGATGTTAATTAGTGAATGGTATTAGATGGTAGAGAAATATATGGCGACTTCAAATGCATTTATATGTAACTGTATTCACCATAGGTCATGTACTCTCGAGTGTTTATATATATGTATATCATTAAGCTACGACTCCAGCACAACCCACTGTGGCGACTCAATCAGAAGTTCTACACCAGACTAGGCTGTAGCTGGTATAGTGGTTAGGACGCTTGCCGACCATGCACATGGTCCGGGGTTCAATTCCCGGGCGACGAGGCACTCCCTTACCCCGTTTAGCCAGAAATAATGCTGGTAAAGAGGAAAGGTTGGGCATGAGGCTATCAAACCCATCCTGTAAAATCAACACTGCTACAGAAACTTCAAGCCACTAGCTTGAAGCCGTATGTTCCACTGGGGAACGTGAAGGAAAAAAAAACAAATGCATTTATTATATGTCCCTCGAGTACTGAGTAGAATACAGGGCCTGAGCATTTCATCCGGTACTCTGCGTTCTCTTTTAACTCACCCTTACACGATATTTTACATGTTGCCCTCGGACGACCCAATCGTCGCCTTTCATTCGAGTTCAACTAAAGGATCTTACACGTGATGGCAATGAGCAGTCGTCTCAGAGTTGATCCAGTGCATTTATTTTTGGATGTCTGTTCAGTCGTAAGTTCTTACTTGACCCGATCTCACAAAAGATCTTTCTTGAATACCTATTCTAGCTGACCCTGTCTATCTTCACTATCGAACCGGTGAAGGAAGATGTCAATGGAAGTCTCCAGCTTCTTGTTAGAAACGCTTTTGCAGACGCTCACACCAAGTGTGTGAACCATAAAGAATCACTGATAGATTCGCAATTTCAAATTTCATCGCTGACTGACATCATTTTGTAGAACAACTGGAAAACTGAGGAGTACTGCATAGCTGAGTCGTCTTAGTTTTGGGGATCGTCGGCAGTAAGAAACCAAGACCCTACGGATCAAATGAAAGTTCTCAGACCACACAGTCACTGAAAGACGAGTTTGTGGCCCACGAATTCCAACTTCCGCTAATTCTTCACATTAGCGCAACCACCTGCCAAAGTCATCGGTGTGTATTTGTCCTCACACCCGACACACTTTTATTCACTAGTCACCAATTCACAATGGAATACCAAGTAACTTCATCTTTTGGTAGGATTTAATTTGTTACAAATTCGATCACAATCTGACATCGGCTAGAGAACCATTGGAAAACTAAGGAGTACTGGTCAGCCAGCTCTTTCGTCCTTGTTTGAGACCCTTCATAGTGAGCACCCATCAAAGTTCTTCAGGTGACATCAACTCATGATAAAGGCTGGAATGAATCGAAATCCTAAAAAAATAACTCTAGATAACTTGAAATTATTGCTGAAGACTTGGACTTTGTTCTCTGATGTCATGCGCCGTATATCTACATTCTGGTCTCAGTGTAAATGAGATCTGCCTTGCTATGTTCATTTTATCTCAGCTTCGACATACTCGTCTGTTCTACAAATCTTCTCAGTAATACGATCTTATTATTTAATATATCTATTAATGTAAGACTGACATTTGGTTTACACAGTTCAGGAATACAGAGTATCTGTAAATCGAGCGAATCACTTTCATGTGATTGTGTTTTGTAACCTAGGCAGGTAGTCTAACTTTGAAACAGTTTTGATTATTCAATTTTATGGCAGTACCTCTGATGGACTCACTATAACTTGAAGTAGAATTATTTGAATTCTCCAGGAATCATATAATTGTCTCTCTTGACAACCTTGTTTCGTGGAACTTAACTTACTCCTAGTCAAGTTCTCAGATTAACCATCTGTTCGGGTTTACTGAACACTTCCAACGAATTATAGCCATTCATATATGATTTTTGGAATAGGCTCCAATTAAAAGTGATTTCTTCCCGAAGATTTCTTTCTACAATCCAAAATCTGTAAAGCCTCGCTAAATCACGGTCTAAACGTAATCTCACCTTGCCAACGAGGCATGTGGTCCGGTGTTCAATTCCTGACCGACGCACTCCCAGAACTTGCAATAGAGGGATGTTTGATCATAAAGCTGGTAATCCCATCCTGTATTTAACAACGCTACCACTATGGAAGCTTCAAAGTGTGGAGTTCTCTACAGCACTCGGAAAGCGAATCAATAGAAAATATCTGATCCAGGTGTTGGTTTGTAGGGATATGATTGTTTACAAGATTTCTTCATGAGCTGACATTGGTTACAAAAGCTTTTGAAAACCTAGGAATACTGGGTAGCCAGCTGTATCATTTTAGTTTGGACCTATTCATCAGCGCTCACCCACCACCAGAGTTCGAGTCATGGGACCTTTCGTTAACAAAGCAAGCTAGCGTGTAGACCATTCAACCACTAGTTACAGTATATCATGAATTGACAGAAGTTGCAATCTATGGGCTGGCCATTGGATCGAGTCCCAGGGATTGAATGGTCTACGAGCTAGTTTGCCTTGTAACCAAAACCTCCTAGGTCTGAACTCTGGCAGCAGGTACGTGCTGATAAAGAGTGCCGAACCACGCTGACGAAAAAACTGGCTGTCTAGTACTCCCAGGTTTACCAGTGGTTCTCTAACCGATATCAACTCATAGAGAAAGTACATTATTCGGTTTTAAAAATCGAATTATTCATATTAGTGAATTCTCTCCACTCCCAATATGAACCGGACAGTTCTTCAAATGGATTACTTTGATTTCCTTTTCTTTAATGTGTAGTACTTAACAGGACTTTTTGAAATTTTTAAAAAAGTCATATAGTTCAAATATTCAATTTTTGATTTTCATGGATTCGCTTGACTTTAAGCCAGATGAAATCTGTGTGTTCATTCCACGGTGAAGTCATAAGTGTGTACACCTGTAGAATCACTGGACTATGACGAAACAGCTATGGAGTACTCCTTGAGAACTTTGTGGTTGTCCGATTGGTGTGATTTTATGATGCAGTTGATCATTAAGTAAGATCCTAGAAAGATCAACACATTAAAATCCGCCTACTCTTCACTAATGACCGACCTGAAGTTCTACATTGTAGTCGTGACTATTAGCGTCTATTACGTCAGGTGTCAAGACAGATATCGTCTGCCTGTGACAGTGAGTGAAGGATAGGGATGGGGTGTGAGATGTCGCAAATCTTCCAAAAGTTATAGTTCATAAGGCATTGAATACTATCCCACTGGTTGATTGGTTATTCGTAGAGGTTGAGAATCAGAGTTCCACTTCTGGTTCTCAGGTTCATGAATGATAAATGAACTAAATATCTATCCAGTAGTACAACCCAGATTTCATTAGGTCTATGACCGACGCCATTTTCACAACAAATCACTTTTATGATGTATCTTTTTCTCTTTTCTTTTTTCAGACTCGTCTCAACTATCAACTCGTCTTACTCTACTTATCCTTTATTACACTCGCAATGTATCTACAACTTGGAACAAATGCTTACATGTTACCGAATCGATATCATTTGGCGCCTTATGCAAATGATTATGACAGCGATGCAATCATGTATCGTCATATGCTTGTCCCGCTATCTTCCGTATTATCAACAAGAATGCATAAAAGGGGACCAGAATTAATTATCCCATTCATTAGTGGTGGAGCTCCAGCGAAGAAATCTGATGATGTTGAATGATTCATTGATTTATTGGTTAAAATATTTAATTTAAAAGACAAAATAAGCAACTCAAGCATGAATACTTGTCAAATTAAGATCTTCAGTGTGTTTGCATGAGTGTCTGCGTGTGTGCGTGTGAGTATGACTGCGTGTTGATTTCATCAAATATACATATATCTATAAAAATCTTTTGAAAACTTTCTTTTTCAATACAATAAATTTTAAAAAAAAATAGGTAGTAATATTTTTGATGAGTGCGCCACACTCTCATGTCGTTAAATGTTCCCCTGTTTCGGCTTAATTTTGTTTGAATCAGGAGAGGTTTGCGTACTTTCGGCAGTGTGTGTGTGTGTGGGCGGATGATCTTAATTCTCGGCTGTCCACATCACGAAAGTAGTTGACCGTTTTCTTTGGAGTATCTGAAACACACAGAGGGCATGAGTGTTGAGTAATTCCAGAGACCTGTGGATAACTCTCGCCAACCATGCACATGGTCTGAGGTTCGATCCCCTGCCGACGCACACCTCATTGATATCAATGATCGGCCTGCAAAATTTGGGCTACCGATATCCATGCTGAAAATTCCATACTTGTACCAAAAATTCAGTGTGGAATCAAGCTGTAATCAAAAAAGATTAGGAAATCTGTACACATTTACTAAGATGATACTGTCATTGTTAAATACAACCTGTGTCTTTACAAGGGAAAGACTGCATGCATATTTGACATCTGGGTCATTTCAGAGGAAATAATACACTGCTGTTTAATACCTGTTGTCCCCAACCATTACAACTTTGCTGATAGACAACTCAGCGAAAACAGGAATATTTCCATAGATAGGTCATGAGAATCGCAAATTTTAGACAACGAAAGCATCATGCAACATTTTTTTCCCTTCACGTTCCCCAGTGGAACATAGGGCTTCAAGCTAGTGGTGTGACGTTTCTGTAACAGTGTTTATTTTACAGGATGGGGTTGATAGCCTCATCTCCAACCTTTCCTCTTTACCGGCATTATTTCTGGCTTGGTGGCGTAAAGGTGTGCGTCGGCCGGGGATCCAACACCGGATCATTTGCATGGTCGGCAAGCGTCCTAACCGCTATGCTACCGACGCCCATAAAAAGCGTTAATCGGGGAGTAACTGAAGAAAATTTAATAAATAAATAAATAAATCGAGTGACGTAATATAATTCACATGGTTGAATGGAATTCAACTAAAGTTGAACAAGAGTCCAGCTAACAACAGTGGACATAACGACTGGAAATTTACTAAACATTGGTGAGGCAAAAATATAATACAATTAAGAACAAAAGTAAATTTTACGTATCTTGTGTTGAGACAGATATGATCCCTGTAGATTTAATGATTAAACAAACGTGTTTAGTATGTAGAGTTCTGGATTCAATATATGGTGAATTACCATTGCTTCCTCAGTTTGAAGAAGTTTGATCCATGATCTATTAGCAAGTTCCTCACATATTCTGTAGATAACTTTGAAGTCACTTTGTGGGTTATCTTGATGTCTGGATTCGATCAGGTGTTTCAGGATAGAGCTGCTGTTGCGTGAGGGATGGGATCTTTTCTCTTCTTTATGAAACCATAAGGGTAGGTGTTCGATGATACGTTTGGATAGCGAAGTCTCGATACTGCAGCCATATCTATCTCCACACAAGCAAGTGAATTGGTGGACTCACATTCGACCTAATTCCTCTTAACACCCGATACGTAATTTTCGTGGTTTTCTCTTAATTGTATCATTTTCGTCCCCCATTCCTTATTACCACTTTTGTTTACTTGAGCCGTGTTCAATTTTAGTTGAAATTTACTCAACCGAATCAATTAAATTACGTCACTCGATTTACTTATTTAGTTATATTTCAGTTAATAGCCAAGTAACGCATCCCATAGTACATAATTTGGTTATCACGAGTCTGACCACGGATTGATATCAGTTAGATAACCATTGAAAACCAGCACTGGAGTACTGGACAGCTGTTTTATCCTAGTTTTGGAGCCATCGGTAGTACGCATCCACCGTCAGGTGCTCGAACTCAGGAGCTTCCGGTTACAAGGCAATTTGGCTTGTATACCATTCAGTCATTAAGACACATGATTTCTAACTTCTACCAATTCATGATTTAGCGTGGCTGGTACCAATCAGTGTCATCAGTGGGATATCTATCCTCACATACTTGACTGGTTGAATCTTACGGGTCACGACTTCTCACTAGAACTAACTCCAGAAATCTCCGTCGAGCATCTCTGGAAATATTCTTCTGGCTGCGAATAACACTTAGTATATATCCATGAGATTGTACACCTTGGAAATGACTGCTTCAAAAAATTTGAGGAACTCTTCGTTAAACGTCTCTCCTTTGTCATACCTCAATGGGGATTTCTATGTAACTGCAGTCACTACAACTATGAGTGCATTCAGTCTAGTTGCTATCTAAAACAAACTTTCTGGTATTTTAGAATCTGCAAGAGAAGGCTGAGTAATGTCAATCAATAATTTTTAAACTCTGCCTAGCGGGAAATAACATGCTCACAAATAACCATTTCTTCATCATCAGTCTCTAAAGTTATGTAACTATAATACTTGAAAAACTATTGGTATTAACAACAATAATGGTTCGAATAACACAGAGAGATTACAGCTCACAAGCATCAATACCATACTAAATTGAATATCAGATATATCAGGAAAAACATCGGAGAATTCATGAAATTCTAGCTTCCACAGCTAGCTACGGTAGCATTATCGGCTGAATCTGTGCATTGAAGTTTCGCGTGTTGCCATTTAATCGATTTTTTCCGTGTAGGGTCAGTAGCGCCGTGACCAGTGCTCTCTGTATTCCCATGCTTGGGATTGGCTAGAAAACCAGCTAGGTAGTAAACTAGGATTGGGGTAATCAATACATACTCACTGGGATTACAATTCAATACCTTCCACATACAAGACAAGCTCGTAGAACACTCAGCTACTGGCTTTTATCAAAGCCAAAACCGGGATTACAAGACAGATATCTTCATCACTTTGAACACTGAATGAAAATCTTCCGCAATCATTAAGCAGAACAAAATTCGGATTTTCAACACCCAGTGTTAGGTCAGTTCTTCTGTATGCATCAGAAACCATATGACAGTGTCAAGAAGAGAGAATTTCTAACAGCCTACTGCAGATGGTTACCAGCAACTACCTTCGCTGGCTGCTTATGGGAAGATCAAATGGCTGACGGGAAAGAATCAGCAACACAAAAACTGTAGGAGCAAACAAACCAAGAACATATTGTTCAACAAATATGTAGAAGAAAATAGAGATGGATGAAACACATGTTGAGAAGACAATCGGATTACATCACGCGTCAGGCTACAGCTCGACTCCACCTGAAGTAGTAAAACGACGAGTTGGACGTCCAGATGTGAAGCGGAGTAGACCGTATGAGGAGGAGATAAGAGATTATGGTTAATCATAGATCAATTTGGAGAGGATCACGGAAAATAGAACAAAGTGGAGATGTGTAGTTGAAGCTCTATGTTTCCTCTGTGCACACAGCTCCAACGGTTTCTAGCGAATCACAATACAGTGTTAGGCATCTAGAGGTTTCTGGTAATTTATTCATTACCCAATAGACGATAGAAAAAGACTCTTCACTGTTAGCCTTGTGAAGTGTTTCGACGAGGTGATCTAATGTGAAACTGTTAATGGTTCTTACTGGAGCAACGATCAATATAACCTGCTTGATAGGATCTGTTAAACTGATAGATACTACAAAAGGTACCTAGCCTAGGTGTCTCCTCTTTCAACTGAGATCACAACTAGTCCGGCAGAAAACATAAACCCAAGGCTACTGGCATTCAATGCTTCTTGAGTCAATCATATCACATACACACTGATAATACTTGACTACGGACCGCCATACAGAATGAAATATACCCATGTACTCATGAATAAGTATGGAAATACGTCCAAGGTCACCAGGATGGATGATTAATAAACTCGTGGAGAAATCTAAAAGCTCACTTCAAATTGAAGTATGCGCTGAGGATGTCACCCAGTAGGGTGATGAAAGCTTCGCAAACTAACCATCCAGCTCAGAGAACAAAACCACATCAAAATTTGTACTTTCTCGTCACCTTTGATTTACTTTTATTAGATGGTCGATGTGGTCTATATTAACATGTTTGTTAATCACATTTTCGCTTTGGTTCCAGGCTAGGTAGGTTTGGTGTATATTAATATGTTTGGTAATTTCTGGCTAACTCACCTGAGCACTAGGCTTCCAAACATTTTTTCTGACTAGAATTACGGTGTTTCCTCGATTAAAAATGTCTACCTTATCCCATTCAAACTGGTGTCTATAATTATCTGTATACAATCATATGAAAGAATACATATCATGCCTATTTTCATCACAGCTGATTTGTAATAATAGAAAATATTTGTAACTCAGGTGGATGATTTGCAATTGATAGTGTTCTCTGAGCTCCTTGGTTTAATTGCGGAGCTTTCATCATCTTTCTGGACGACATCTTCAGCGCAGTATTTAGGATAAAGTGAAATGATTTAAATTTCTTCATGAGTCTCCCGGTAACCATCTTTAGATATTTATTGACCGTTTTCTATTAATTGGGATTTTAAACTTTCTGATCACCTGATTTACTTCTTATTATTTGGTATATTTCATCTATATTAACGTGTTTATTAATTGCGTTTTCATTTGAGTATCAGGCTTCTAGGAATTCTTTGGCACATTTGGTGTTTCTTCTGTTTAAGATTTTGACATTATCCCAATCAAATTGATGTCCATGATCGTCTGAATGTATTGGTACTAAAGAATTTATATCATGTCTTTTCACGGCTGATTTGTGTTCCTGGATTCTTATTCGAAGGGGACGCCCACTTTGGCCGATGTAATGTTTGTTACAGTTCACACAATTTATTTTGTAAATGGTGTTAAGTTTATCTCCCTTTTCTATCGGATCTTTTGGTTTGCATAAGATAGAATTAAGCGATTCAGATGGTTTGTGTGCTACATCTATATCAAACGGTTTCACTATTCTAGCCGTTATTTCAGAGATGTTTCTGATATATGGTAGGGAGAATTGCTTTTTGGTCTTTGGTGATGGTTCTTTGTTGGTGCTTTCATTCGATTTTAAACAACAGTATTGTCTCATCATTAGACAAAGGTGCCAAATATGTCCGCTGCACATTT